AGTAAACAGCCATCAGTGTGCTAATGATCCATTGTTAGGCTGATGGTCCTTCTTGAGCATGTGATCAGCTGGTTTTGGTTGTCAGCAGCAAAACTGGTTGATCCACTCTAAGAAGGTGCTATTTAAGAGACTGAGCTGAATACAGCTCCTCAGACTGAGGAAGTCTCTTGGATGAGAGACGAAACGTTTCTACATTTTTTTGTTGATTTGCTTTTTTTTTTTTTTTTTTTTTGAATGTCCAGAGGACCAGATTTAACTTTTTTAGACCTAATGAATAACTTTAATTAGCTGGATGCACATCTACAACTACACGAACTTCTCGCCGTACACGTCGCACCACCGTATAAGTCGCATCAGTCCAAAAATTACTAATAAAGTGGGGAAAAAAAAAAAACGAAATATGTCGCTTCGCCGTATAAGTCTCATCTATTATGTGTCACCGCTGATGTGTCACATTTATTATGCATCACCACCTGGAAAAGTGGGCCGGTGTTGTACCAAAAATCGACTGGCTGCCAAATGCGGGAGCATGAATGGGAGGACTTGAACAAGAATTTAGCAAGATTAACACTGAAAAACAATTATTTGTTTGCTCGACATTATAGCAAAGGTGTGTCTCAGTTGAACTTTTCCTTAATAAATGCACTTTGACGGTCAAATCAGCTGCATTTCACCTGAGCGGTGCGGCAAAATGCAGCTGATTTGACGTTTGCTCGAGGAGTTCCGGAGCGAGACAAAGGTGGCTTTTTATGGCAAGCCAAGTGACTCATTAATAGCCACTTTTACCTATCAATGAGACACTTGGCTTGCCATATTAGTCGAGGGCCCCCTAGTGGCTGAAAATGGTAGTGTTCAATATTTTCCATGTCAGAATTAATGAAATCGTCAGATCTCAGCCAAAAATTAAGTTATAAATATGGGGAAAAACACATAAATAAGTCACTTTGACATACAAGTCGCAGGGCATGCAAATTTATGCAAAAAGGTGCGACTTATATGGCGAAAAGTATGAAAATTCATTCAACCTTAATTTATACAGACTAGCCTCATTGAGCCACGGGGACTCATTTACAAAATAAATTTGTTTCTGTGAGCAGCAAGTTGGCCATCTGGCCTAAAACATTTGATCATTATACATGATTGATTTGGACGAAATAATTAATGTTTGGGGTCAACTCTACAACTAATTGACCATAGAAAATATGATAATGGCTAAACATGTTTACAGAGCTAAAGTTTTGTTTGGTAGTTGAGAGGCAGCGAGTGATTTAAGGAATCCTAGGCCTTTATGTGAAGAACAATCTCCTTCAATCTGAACACCTCACCGGCAGTAAGGCTGCTGATCAAACCCACCTGAGGCAGGTGTTGGCCATGAAGATGAGAGCAACTCGCCGTAACTCTACATTTGGCTGAGATGGAGAACTGTACTGCAGAAGAAGTCCATCTTCACCCAGCAAGTCATTGACAAGCTGAGGATGAGAGGAACCTCAGGGTAAACGCCTGAAAAAGGCACGTTATGCTCTGACAGAGAACAGAAACATGTACCTGGTGGCATTGAGGTCCATTCCCATAAACCACTGTGGAGAGAGCCAAGAGGACGTCCGGGTGTGTCCACAAACTGCACTCTTTTAGTGCACTGCTGGTGTAGTTCATCAACACCTCCAGTGTCTGCTCATCCATTATTACCTCCAAGCAGAAAAACATTAGGCTGAGTGTAAACACTGCTGTCTGGTGATGTGTGGATTTTCAGCATGCAGCATCGTTACCTTCAGTTGATTTAGGAGGTGATGTACAAGTTGGCAGAATTTGACCATTAAGTGTTCTTGACTCAGAGGTACAAGACTGCTGACATGTTTCAGCAGAAGACACACATCCTGAAATCAAAAAGGTAAATAAAAAAGCTCAGCATATTCATTACATCAGTGATGAATAAAATAACCCAGAAAAATCACAAGTTCACTGAGAAGCTTCATACCACTGAGAGCTCAAGTCTTTTAAAGAGCAGTAAAAAGGCTGGTCAGTTTATGCAATTTAATTTAGGTTTTCTTTAATGCAAAAGCAAAACAATAAAACTAAAATGTGCTGCTTGTTCAGGAACAGTGTGCTGTGACTTTAGGTGATGATAGGTTGACATCTTTTACAAAATCCACAACAAACTGCAAGAAAAAAAAAGGACTTCAATGGGATATTAGCTAAACACTCGAGAAAACCCAGTTGTTTGGAGAGCTGTAGGTCAGACATGCCTACAATACAGTAAAGTTTCAACAGAAAGTTGGACTTCACATGTATTTTTTTGTTGCACATTCACAGTTTTAGTTTTTTGATTTTCAGTGTTTTTATGGAAAATTCACTTGACAGTGGATGGTGTCACATCTTAACTTTTGAACAGTCTATAAAAAAATAATTTTAATATCAAACTTGTCTGACTGCCACAACTCTTTTTGGTACATAATGCTGGTTAAGACCATCAGTCATCGAGGGCCAAGGCAAATCTAAAAAAACAACAACATTAATTTAAAAAACTGGCACTTGTTTGACGATAAACAGCTTCTTTCAGCCCCTTCTCACCCCATCTGACTTCAGAAGTAATCTTGTTTGTCCAGAGAAAGACTGACTCTAATTTCAGTTTAAGTTGGAACAATGGAGTCCATGATATCAAAAGCAAAAAAACAGAAATAACTAAACATCATAAATTTCATCATACTTTTTGGGAAATACCATATACACAAATCAACGTTATTCACTATATTCCCTCTTTCCAGGCCTTCCAGTACATTGTAAACATTTGTGACTCAAGTAACAAGAAAGCTATAAAAATATTTGTGCACCCTATTTAATGTGTTTATTTGAATGATCCCCCTGGCTTTTTTTTTTTTTTTTTGGTTCTTTTTTTCGGTTCCATGTATATTAATAATTGTCGTGTAATGTTTTACTTTTAATAAAAAAGGAGGAGGGAAAGAAACTGGTGTTTCATTAACGTTAATGCGTTTCTTCACTTCCGGCTTCAGTCTCATCATATTAGGCATAATTTTTTATATTTCCACTACCGTTGGTTCTATCTTGTTCTATTCTTTCTTTGTTTATTTGTTGTTTTGTTTGTATCTCCTGTACACTGTTTCATTCTACTGCATGACACGTGCGATATAAATAAAGTTTGATTGATTGATTGAAGTGGTTGTTAGGGCGATCTCTGCTTGTTGCTAAGGAACCTGTGTATCGCACAGCTAAACAGGACCAAAGCGAGCCCGTGTGCGTTATCACCTGTGGTCGGATGTTGATGTCGGGCTCGAAGGTTCTGTTGTAGTTCTCGGACAGCAGCTGATCAAACAGCTGGTTGAGCTCCTCTCTCAGCTGGCCTGAAGATGCTCGCAGGGCTCGGAGCTTTGCGGCACAGCGGGAAAACTGCTTCTCAGCGTCCGACAAGGAGTCCAGTCTCGGCCCATCCGTCGACCGAGGAGTGAACGGGATGGCTTCGGCGGACAGAGCAACAGAGGAGAAAACAGGGTCTGCACGACGGTCACAAGCCGGTGCCGACATTCTGACTGGAGACGCCATGTTTCCTGGCTCCCGGAAGTACATATACATTTTTTTTCCTGGAAGTACAAGCGCAAGAACTAAACGTTAGGCTCATTACTCCCCCTACAGGCCACAGATATTACTGCTTCTATAGGCCATAAATGTAACTATTATGTACAGACCATATATTTTTGTAGATAAATACTGTATGTATATATTTTAAAAAAAAAACTTGTACAAATCGTACAGATTTATGCACAAGTACAATATACTTTTTGAGCATACCATTGTACAACAAAAAACACAAAAAATGAATATGAACAGTGAAAACCACAAGTACAATTAAAACAATACAATATATTAAAGACCTAAAAAGCAACTGAAGTCAGATTAAAATAAAGTGCATTTTGTGAAGTGCATAGTTTCAAAGAATCTTTCAGACAGGCCAAATCATTAATAAACCCAGTAAACATTGTCTTAGGTTTGGCAAATTTACATGTATGCACCAAAAATTGGATCAACATGCAAATTATTTAGAGTCAGAGTCAGAGATTCTTTATTGTCATTCATGTGGTACATGTGGTGGAGCAAAATTATGTACACAGGGTCCCAGTTACATCCAACAATAAAATGTATAAGAAAAACAGTAATAACATCTAAGATATGAACTAAGAAAAACATCAACTAAATATACACTAAGCACTCATAACATAAAAACATTGACCATCAGCACAAACATGAACATGAGTCTGTGTGAGCAGATGTGCACACATGAACACATCAGCATTGAAACAGATCAGCAGCAACATGATGTGGTTTTTCCCAGTGATTATTCTGGTTAGAGATTCATGAGTCTAACAGCCTCAGGGTAGAAGCTGTTCCTCAGTCTAGTGGTTCTACACTTAATGCTCCTCAACCTCCTTCCTGAGGGGAGTGGGGCAAAAAGTGTGTGTGCTGGATGAGTGGGGTCCTTCATGATGCAGGTGGCCCTCTTCCTGCATCTGGAGGTGTAGATGTCTGTGATGGTGGGGAGGCTGATTCCGACAGACTTCTGTGCAGCCTTAAAATGAACTCTTTTGTTTTGTCTTCCATTGTGACACAAAATTTACCCACTTTGTAATCTAAAGTGGATATCTCTTGTTGTTACTAGGACGGAGTATTAGGCCCATGCCAGTGCCGACATAAGCCTCCATGGGGCCCTAAGCGAAATTTGGTTTGGGGCCCTTTATTTCTGCTGATAATGTGGATTACTGCAATCAACACTCAGATGATCAGATCATTCACCCACCTAACATAAACTCATTGCAACTCTGACAGCCCTGTTTACATTATTCTATATGTATATATTACTAAAAGTAACAAAAGAAAAGAAACAACACCAGTATGCAATGTATTTTACAGCAAAAGTTTAATCTGGTATATTGTCTTTGGTTCCAAAGAACTGCAACAGTAATGTTCAAAGTAATTTGTAGTGCAATATCAACAACAGGCCCTGTGATGGACTTGCGACCCGTCCAGGGTGTACCCCGCCCCTCGCACAGTGATTGCTGGACATGGGCACCAGCGACCCCCGTGACCCAAAATGGAATAAACGGGTAAAGAAAATGGATGGATGGATGGATATCAACAACAAACATATAAAATAACTTAGATGCATACAAATATCTTAAATTGTGCAAAAACAAACAAAATTAACTAAATTACAAAATAAAATATCAAGGAAATAAATAATGGGCAGCACGGTGGCGCAACTGGTAGAGCTGCTGCCTCTCAGCGAGCAGGTCCTTGGTTCAAACCCCAGTCCAGGGGCCTTTCTGGGTGGAGTTTGCATGTTCTCTCCGTGCATGCGTGGGTTTTCTCCGAGTACTCCGGTTTCCTCCCACAGTCCAAAAACATGCATGTTAGGCTGATTGGTAACTCTAAATTGTCCCTAGGTGTGAGTGAGAGAGTGAATGGTTGTTTGTGTCGTTTGTCTCTATGTGTCCCTGTGATGGACTTGCGACCCGTCCAGGGTGTACCCCGCCCCTCGCACAGTGATTGCTGGACATGGGCACCAGCGACCCCCATGACCCAAAATGGAATAAACGGGTAAAGATAATGGATGGATGGATGGAAATAAATAATGTAAATGAACAATTACTTGAAACCTCGTAACATGATTTAAAAAAAAGAAATTTAAAATTGAATAATTAGTTCTTAAAACTATATAAATGTATGCAACAATTTGCAAAAGCTGAACTTAAAAAATATTAAATAACTGGAGGAAGTACCATTATGTTGAACACATTGCCTCCGATCTAAGCGATAGTAGAGAACCAACCAATGGTGTGTTCTGAGAAACCAATTTCTGAGAGTTTATGACACAAGATGTTCTGATCCACAGTGTCAAAAGCTTTAGACAGGTCTAAGAAAAGTGCAACACAATAATCCTTAGCATCCAGTGCTTCAACGTCATTAAGAACCTTCAGTGAAGCAGTGGCTGTGCTGTGTTGTTTCCTGAAACCAGATTGATGTGGAGGTAAGATGTTAAATGAGTCCAGGTAATTTTTGATTTGAGAGTTTATCAGTTTTTCTAGAACCTTGGCTAAAATGCAGAGTTTAGAGATTGGTCGATAGTTGTTCAGTGAGGTGGGGTCTCCTCCCTTCAGCAAAGGAAGAACAAAGGCTGTTTTTCAAGCGTCTGGAATGGAGTTTTGTCTTATGGAGAGATTGAAGATGTGGGTCACAGGGACTGTGATGATATGAGCAGCCAGCCTTAAGAAATAAGGTGGAAGTTCATCTGGACCTGCAGATTTTTTAGGATCAAGATCTTTTAACTATTTATTAACCTCACTGACTGAGAACAGAGAAAAAGAGAAGGTGCGATTAACTGAGGATTGACTGGTAGGAGGGATTTGATTTGTAGAAGTTTGGTTATTAGGGGAAGTGGCTGATCTTCCATTAGTAACTGTGTCAAATAAAGAACTAGAAGCAACAAAATGTTTGTTGAAACAATTCAGGATCTCGTGCTTATTTGACACTTAACGAGAAGTTGTGATGGGAGGTCAGATGATTGGGGGGTGCGTGAGAGAGATTTGATGGTTTTCCAGAATCTGTTGGGGTCATTTAGATTTTTGGAGGTCTGAGATAAGAAATAGTTGTGTTTTGCTGCTTTGACAGAAAACTCAACCAATCAGTGTCTGAGTCAGATTTTCTCGCTGTGGCCCAAAGATGATCTCTTCTGTGCAGGAGGTCAGCTAGCTCAGGAGTAAACCAGGGGCTGTCTCGTCCCTTTATTCTGAACTGGTAGGTGAAGTGGTAGGTGAAGTGATGCACCCATCATGCCTAGTGCCTGGTCATCAATGCAAGATCTTGGTGAAAAATTAACACTGGATGGAAATAGATCTTGTGACAATGCAGAAGCTTATCGAAACAACGCCACAGTGAATACATGCTGTAATCAAAGCTAAAGGCGGTCCAATGAAATAGTGAGAACTTTTTTTTTGTGGCCACTTTTTTTTTGGCCAGGCAGTGTATGAATAGAACTGGGGAAGTCGGACTGTCCTGACTAATTCCACGCCTCACTTCAAATCACCGACATGTTCCAAAGGAGAGCAGCAGAGCTGGTAATATCACTATAAAACATTAGATTACAGAAATGATCACCAAAGCCATTGTAATGTAGTGTCCAACATGACTGTTCTACCATGCTGAATACTTTGAAAAGAACAAAAGCCATCCATCTTGCCTTTATAGTCTAATACCAATCTGATAGTTATGAATTGATAATTTCTTGAGAAAGCCAGATGATTCACCAATAATTCGAAGTATACCCTTCAGTCCGTTAGCAACATGACCAATGGCCATAAATGTAACTACAGGGCACAGATAATGCCATTTAGTGCCAGGACCTTCATTTTATAATTAAATGAAACTTTGGTGCATTGTTTACTCAGTAAAATTTGGCTTAGGCATTTGTATTTAACATATTTAACTCAGATTACGCAGCACGGTGGCGCAACTGGTAGAGCTGCTGCCTCTCAGCGAGCAGGTCCTTGGTTCAAACCCCGGTCCAGGGTCCTTTCTGGGTGGATTTTGCATGTTCTCTCCGTGCATGTGGATTTTCTCCGGGTACTCCGGTTTCCTCCCACAGACCAAAAACATGCATGTTAGGCTGATTGGTATAAATTGTCCCTAGGTGTGAGTGAGAGAGTGAATGGTTGTTTGTGTCGTTTGTCTCTATGTGGCCCTGTCATGGACTGGAGACCCGTCCAGGGTGTACCCCGCCCCTCGCACAGTGATTGTTGGACATGGGCACCAGCGACCCCCGTGACCCAAAATGGAATAAGCGGGTAAAGATAATGGATGGATGGATCTCAGATTACACTATCGAAACAGGGAAATTTTTTAAAGTTTTACAAAAACGGTTTTCTGTTGTCTCTGTAATAAAACTGTTAAAATTGCACTTCACTCGTGTTGACAAAAGCTCAACATCCTGCAACCTCATCAAGACATTCAAAAATTTCACGTAAAAAATAAAGTACAACATGTCCACATTTTAAACCAGTTTAATGTTGGAAAGTAATTTTGTGCTCTACATGTTTGAGGTGAAGACTGCAAAGATCAGTTTGGATGTACAGAAAGATGCAGCTGCAGATATTCAGTGTAATCAGGAACATTCAAACCGTTAATGCTCAGCTGGTTACAGCCTTTTATTAAAAGTTTAGCAACAGTCATTGCATGGTTTTATTTTTCAGTCCATCATTCGTCACTGGAAATTAAAGATATTTGAACAAAAAGGCGATTGCTCACTTTAACACAATGAAAACAAGTTATTTTACAACACTCTTGTGAAGTAACTGACAGGCCTGCACCAACAGCAAAATCAAAAATCTAGAAATATTAAGACGAGTCAGTCAGTATGTTTGAACGCGGTCCAAAAAGGAGCTGAAATCCAGCTGTGGACTGGCATTTTCTACAGAAGATGAATCACCAGTCCATCCACGACTGAAGCAACGTCCACTGATGATGGGGCTGTTGCAGATGGCGCAAAGTAACTGAAGTAAGCTGGGAAGCCTAGAGGTAGGCATGTCTGCAGAAAGGAGGTGTCAGATTTACAATGCGGCACAGGCGGATGCTTCAGCCGGACTTGAACAGGAGAATGGCCACCTGACCCAGGTAGAAGTAGATGAAATGTTTGGTTTCATGCGTCACGTAGCTGCCAAAGTTCCTCCCGACGATGCAGTGCCATGTGGGGTTGTACTTCTTGTCAAACTCCTTCAAGAACGGACAAGAAGTGAACCAGAAGCCTTCAGATGCGTTAATATTGCTTACAGGGTGCTACAAACCTTTTTGACGTAAGCAGCGATGTCCTTCTCGATGTTGTACTTCTCCATGGCCTGCATGGCACAGTCCACTGCATCCTGCTGCATTTCATCAGACATGTCTGCATTCTTGATCACTGCCTTCTTATCAGACATGATGGCTCGCTGACTGCAGGAGAAACATCATCAAACATTAAGACACATCCATACCACAGAAGTTAATTGATAGCATCTTGAGCTGACTATTTGCAGCCTAATGAACCTTGACCTCATCTGGTGAAGATGTGCAAACCGGCAGGTGTGACGCTACCATTACTTCTTAAATAATGGGAATTTGATACAAAATGATTTTTATACTTTCTTAACCTACAAGAAGCAGCCATGGCTGTCAGGTTTGTAAACTGAGGGAGATTCATGCAGTTTTACTTGACAATAAACGGAGCAACATGAACAAAAGCAGCACGCTAGCAGCAAAAACCTCCATGTTTTCTGTTCACACAGGCTGCAGTAATAACCGTAAACACAGAGAAGAACATAAGCCATCATGGAGTCAGTGCTTACCGTGTGTCTGTGGAGTTAAACTGTTTGGAAAGGCAGGTTTATCGGGAAAACTGCCTTGTTATTCCTTCATTTATGGAAAGACGCGTGGTCCGCAGGCTCCGCCTCTCACATCCTCTCTGCTCTCTGATTGGCTGAAGAAGAACCTCCGCCCTGCTGACTGCGATTTTTACTGGCAGACAAGTTCCTGCATTTTATGTCTACCCACAATGCATTGCTGTACTAGCCTCTGTGTGTCTGCTGTAAAACAAAGACTACAAGTACAGTAGACGAAGTAATGTGTACGAAAAATGTGTGATGTGAAATGTAAAAATGTTTTAAATCAATTATCTAAGACTCACTTTAAAAAGCAAACTGCAGGGAAGGAACCCTAAGTAATAAATTTAGAGTAATTAATTTTATTATAATAAAACACATCTGTATTTCTGTTTAAAATCAAATGTAACAAGTCTCAATAATTTAAGAAGTCTTATCATTTTGTACCACAGTTAAGCAGGTTGTCCTTTATCAGATGATGGAATTTTATATTCAACCCATGTTCTGAAAATGTTGGGTTGTGTAAAATACAAATAAAAACAGAATGCAATAATGTACAAATCTCACAAACCGTTTTCTATTCATGGTAATGTCCAAAACATGCATGTTTAGGCTGTCTTCATGCAAAGCTTCACTTGTAAGAGATTTGAGGTATTTGCCTGATTAAATTTTTATTTTATTTAGCCTTTATTTATCCAGGTTAGTCTCATTGAGCCACGAGAACTCATTTTCAAGAGAGATCTGTTTTTTTAGGGAGCACATGGTGGGGGTTAAGGGCCTTGCTCATGGGCCCAGAGTGGGGCGAATGAGGGTGGAGGCAAGTGTGGGTATTTCACCTACCCCACCCACAATTTTTGATGTTGTCGGGGCGTGAACCGGCGATCTTCGGATCACAAGCCCACCTCTCTAACCTCTGCGCCACCACTCCCCTAAATGTTAGCTTAAACATTTGGTATGTTTACTGTTTAACAAACCGTTACTTTTTTTAAAAGTAAAATAAGGTAATTTTGAATTTTCCGGCATAAACGCATCTATTTATAGTTGTTCCAGCTCCGAGTTTTCTCTGTGAAGCATTATCTTTTAAGACCAGACTGCACAACCAGGACCTGAGGAGATGGAGATTTTGGAGGACCTGAAGAGACAATTTAGGGATTTTGGAGGAAATGAGGAGACCAGGTTTTGGAGGACCCGAGGAGACCAGATGTTGGAGGTTTTGGAGAACCTTAGAGACCAGATGTTGGAGTTTTTGGAGAACCTTAAGAGGCAGGTGTTGGAGGTTTTGGAGGAACTGAGGAGACCAGGTGTTCGAGGTTTTGGAGAACCTTAAGAGACCAGTTTTGGGAGGGTTTGGAGGACCAGAAGAGACCAGTTGGTGAGGGTTTAGGAGGGCCTGAGGAGACCAGTTTTAGACCCCTAATTC